AAAACCTATGGGACGCAATGAAAGCAGTCCTGAGAGGGAAGTTTATAGCTCTACAGGCCTATTTCAAAAAACAAGAAAAAATGGTAGTAAATCATCTAACTCTACAACTCAAAGAATTAGAAAGAGAGCAACAAAAAAACCCCAAAGTGAGCAGAAGGAAGGAGATAATAAAGATTAGAGCAGAAATAAATGACATAGAGACCAAAAAAATAATACAGAAAATCAATGAAACCAAGAGCTGGTTCTTTGAAAGGATAAACAAGATTGACAAACCTCTAGCCAGACTCACCAAGAAGCAAAGAGAGAGTACCCAAATAAACAAAATCAGAAACAATAGGGGCGAAATAACAACAGACCCCACAGAAATACAAATGATTGTTAAAAAATACTATGGACAGCTCTACTCCAACAAACTAGACAACCTGGAGGAAATGGACAAATTCCTAGAAAAATACAACATTCCAAAACTCAATCAGGAAGAATCTAAAAATCTCAATAGGCCAATAACTATGGAAGAAATTGAAGCAGTCATCAAAAAGCTTTCAGCAAACAAAAGCCCAGGACCAGACGGCTTCACAGGGGAATTTTACCAAACATTCAAGGAAGAACTAAAACCTATCCTCCTCAGACTACTACAAAAAATTCAGGAGGAAGGAACACTTCCAAGCTCATTCTATGAAGCCAGCATCACCCTAATACCAAAACCCGGTAAAGACAACACAATGAAAGAGAATTTCAGGCCAATATCCCTCATGAACATAGATGCCAAAATCCTCAACAAAATCTTAGCAAATCGGATCCAGCAGTACATCAGAAAGATACACCATGACCAAGTAGGATTTATCCCAGGGATGCAAGGAGGGTACAATATCCACAAATCAATAAACGTGATACATCACATAAACAAATTGAAAGAAAAAAACCACATGGTCATATCAAATGATGCAGAAAAAGCATTTGACAAAATTCAACACCCATTTTTGATAAAAACTCTCAGCAAGGTGGGAGTAGAAGGATCATACCTCAACATAATAAAAGCCATATATGACAGGCCCACAGCCAACATCATACTCAATGGACAAAAACTAACACCATTTCCTCTAAGAACAGGAACAAGACAGGGATGCCCACTCTCACCACTCCTGTTCAACATAGTACTGGAAGTATTAGCCATTGCAATTAGACAAGAAGAAGAAATAAAAGGCATCCAAATTGGAAAAGAGGAAGTAAAACTGTCCTTATTTGCAGATGACATGATATTATACATACAAAACCCTAGAGACTCCATCAAAAAACTACTAGACAATACATGAATTTGGCAATGTAGCAGGATACAAAATTAACCCCAAGAAATCTGAGGCATTTCTATACACCAATAATGAACTTTCAGAAAGAGAGATTACAAAAACAATCCCATTTACCATCGCACCAAAAAAATTAAGCTACCTAGGAATAAACTTAACTAAAGAGGTAAAAGACCTCTACTCAGAAAACTACAGGACGTTGAAAAAAGAGATAGAGGAAGACATAAACAGATGGAAGAACACCCGTTTTCATGGATTGGTAGGATCAACATCATTAAAATGTCCATACTACCCAAAGCAATCTATAAATTTAACGCACTTCCCATTAAAACACCAATGGCATACTTCACAGATCTAGAACGAACTCTCCAAAAATTCATCTGGAATAAAAAAAGACCCCGAATAGCTGCAGCAATCCTGAGAAAGAACAAAGTAGGTGGGATCTCAATACCAGATATCAAGCTGTATTACAAAGCCACTGTTCTCAAAACTGCCTGGTACTGGCACAAGAACAGACATATAGATCAATGGAATAGAATAGAGAGCCCAGAAATTGGCCCGAACCAATATGCTCAATTAATATTTGACAAAGGAGGCAAGAACATACAATGGAGTCAAGATAGTCTCTTCAATAAATGGTGTTGGGAAAACTGGACAGATACATGCAAGAAAATGAAACTAGACCACCAAATTACACCATTCACAACAATAAACTCAAAATGGATAAAGGACTTAAATGTACGACAGGAAACCATAAAAATTCTAGAAGAATCCAAAGGCAACAAAATCTCAGACATATGCCGAAGCAATTTCTTCACTGATACAGCTCCTAGGGCACTTGAAACTAAAGAGAAAATGAACAAATGGGACTACTTCAAAATAAAAAGCTTCTGCACAGCAAAAGAAACCATCAACAAAACAACAAGAAAACCCACTATGTGGGAAAACATATTTGTCAATGTCATATCTGATAAGGACCTAATCTCCAAAATTCATAGGGAACTCATACAACTTAACAAAAGGAAGATAAACAATCCAATCAAAAAATGGGCAAAGGACCTAAATAGACACCTCTCAAAAGAGGACTTTCAGAAAGCCAAGAGACATATGAAAACATGCTCAAAGTCACTAATCATCTGAGAGATGCAAATCAAAACAACAATGAGGTACCATCTCACACCTGTCAGACTGGCTATCATCAACAAATCAACAAACTACAAGTGCTGGAGAGGATGTGGAGAAGAAGGAACACTCGTGCACTGCTGGTGGGAATGCAGACTGGTGCAGCCACTATGGAAGACAGTATGGAGTTTCCTCAAAAAACTAAAAATGGAACTCCCATTTGACCCTGTGATCCCACTTCTAGGAATATATCTATCCCAGGAAACCAGAAACACCAATCAGAAAGGATATATGCACCCCCATGTTCATAGCAGCACAATTCACCATAGGTAAGATCTGGAAACAGCCTAAGTGCCCATCAGTAGATGAATGGATTAGAAAACTGTGGTACATCTACACGATGGAATACTATGCTGCTGTAAAAAAGAAGGAACTCCTACCATTTGCAACAGCATGGATGGAACTGGAGAGCATTATGCTAAGTGAAATAAGCCAGTCAATGAAGGAAAAATACCACATGATCTCACTCATTCATGGATAATAGAGACCATTATAAACTTTTGAACAGTAATAGATACAGAGGCAGAGCTGCCTCGAACAGATTGTCAAAATGCAGCGGGAAGGCCGGGGAAAGTTGGGGGGCAGGAGGGAGGGGTATAAGAGATCAACCGAAGGACTTGTATGCATGCATATATGCATAACCAATGGACATGGGACGCTGGCGGGTGGGGGAGGTCAGGGGATAGTCAAGGGCGTGGGGGGGAAAAAAAGACACATATGTAATACCCTTTGTAATACTTTAAGCAATAAAAATAAATAATTAATTAATTAATTCCAGTTGGATTAAAGACCTATAATGTTCACAGAATTTATATGGCATTTCTACAAATCTGTAACAGAAAGAAACAGCCAAATAAAAAGGAGGAAACATCTTGAACAGGCACCTCACAGAAGAGGAAACACCAATGGCTAACCAACACAGAAAAGATGCTCATGCGCACAGGAAAGCAAACCCCCATGAGGCTGCAATGCAGACCGGATACAGGGGTAAAAACGAGGTCCGACAGCACCTAGAGCTGGTGAGGGTGTGGAACAAGCTCTCAGCACTGCTGCTGGAGTGTGAAGTGGCATCACAGCTTCAGGCACAGTGTGGCACAGCCTAATCAGGTTGCGGCCACTCGTGCCTATGAGCTGCTACTGCACTTGCTCCTACATAGGCATCTGGAAAAACTCTTGCACATTTTTCCAAGGAAATAACAAGAATATATAGCAACATTGTGTAACAGCCAAAAATTAGAAATACCTTAACTCTCTAAAAGATAGGAACTTCAACTGCATTAAAATAAGAATATTCATATAATGGAATCATGTAAGTTTTTAAAAATATGAACTAAACCTACACATTATAATGTGAGTCTCACAGAAAGTGGGTGAAAAGGCATGTTCCAGAGGGATGTGTGACATCACCATATTATGTGCAGAGAAGATTACAAACATACAAAACAACACATTATATCAGCAATTTTAAACCTTTTTCAACTCATGGCAAACAACTAAAATGCTGCAGCACACCAAATATTTATTTTTTGCCAATCTGACCAAAAAAAGGTATACTTTTGATTCATTCACACCAGACAACTGTTGCTGTGTTGGCTGTTGTCATTCTTTTATTTGGCAACCTAAGGGAAAGAGGTCAGTGCCCCTGGCTAAATAGTCAGGTGTTGCATGTGGCGCACCAGTGTGCACAGGCAAGCGTGGCCTCCACCTGATCAGGCTGTGCTGCATTGTGCCTGCAGCTATGATGCTGCTCACACTCCAGTGCTGCTGCACACGGGTTGAAACTGCTGCTCTATATGGTTGAAAAACCATCAAATGGGAAATAAGGATAAAGGTAGGCATGGAAATGCTGATGCAGGCACTGGATTCTCAGGGGCAGGGTGAAGGAGCAAAATACCACCAGGGAAGCTACAGGGCTGGTGCCTGGACTTAGAACGTCCATCAGGCTACAGGGAAGGCACAGTGGCACTCACTGCATAATTCTTTATACCTGGTTGTAATCTTAAATAATCCATCATAAAATTTTAAAAAAGTTAATAGAATGTCTGACTAGAATCAATGCACAAAAATGTTACCAGGTTAAGGGGACTGTCTAGGGCGGGGGGATAAAATGGACACATATGTAATACCCTTTGTAATACTTTAAGCAATAAAAAAAAATAAAATAAAATAAAATAAAAAAATGTTACCAGGTTAAGAATAGTAACAGGACACTGTCTAGCAGGGCAGATGACTTAGGCTCAGAGGGCAAGTTATACAGAAGATCAGGCCCAACAAGAAAAGCCCAAGAATAGGGAGATCCTAGGTGTGCTGGAGAAGGGCTGCCAAGTGAGCAGAGGGATGCTCCGGGGGAGGAGGGCAGTGTGCCAGGGAGGCCCTCTCTGTGGTGAGCAGGAGGGCATGGAAGGGAGGGCTGGAGAAGAGCTTCCCCCCAGGAGCTCACAGATGCTACTCCTTCCTCACCCACTGAGCGCCTCACTGGCCTGTGTCCTTGTCTGCTTGGTGCTTCTCACTCACCTGGACAGAGTTCCAGAAGGCATTCGCTTTCCTCTCGCCAGAGCTCGTCCCCTTGCTCCAGTTGTGTGATGAATTTTGGTTTGGAAAAGGCAATTCCTACTCACAGGAAAAGAAAGCAAGGTGACCGTGGGTTAGTGGATTAAAAGGCAATCAGAACTTAGAGTCAGCTGGGAACGCAATAACCCAGAAGGGGGTGAGGAGGCACAGAGGAGGGCAAAGGCTCTCTGAATGCTAACAGAGTGACTAAGGAGGGGTAATTCTGGGCCTAAAAGCAGTATACTCATTCTCCCCTGTGCTGGATTGAACACAAATATTCCCCCATTTGCAGCACCACCTTTTGGGAAGGGGACTGGAAAGTCACTTCATGGAATGAAATGCAGTAAGACACCACATTCACACCTAACTAACTTCACTATTTTCAAAGCTAGAGAACCCAGACATTTCCTGGGGATGCAGGGAAAATATTAGTTTTCTTTCTCAGCCAAAAGCCTGGTGGCTGCTGCCTAAATCTTGAAATGACCACACGCAGACTCCAAGACCTGAAAAGGGCTGTCCTTACCTAGCGACACCAAATGGCTGTAGGTCTCCAGCATTACATCCCGATACAGGGTCCTCTGGGCAGGACTTAACAGCTTCCACTCTCTCTCGGTGAAGGCCACAGCTACATCTCCAAAGGCGATTATTGTCTATAATAGAAACACATCCTGCTCACCCAGGAGCCAGCCACACCCACTAATCAGTTCACCTACGTTACTAACCAGCACTGAGGCAGCAAGAAGGCTGGTGTGGGGCACCTGGATGAGACCCATTGATCCTGCTTCTAACCTGAACCCTGATGCCATGTGTCAACACTACAAATCCCCTGCCCACATGGCTGGTAAGTCTATTTAGGAGTTCTCTGTTCTGCTTTGCTGATCTCTATGTCCGTGGCACTGTCAACAACAGTGTTGTAACTGTAGCTATACAGCAGGCCTTGGAATCAGCCAGGGCAATTCCTCCAACTTCATCATTCATTAAAGGTATTTTAGCTATTCTAGGGCATGTGCCTTTCCATATACATCTTAGAATAATCTTATCTATAGCGACCAAAAAAAAGTTACTGGAATTTTGACAAGATTTGCATTAAACCTGTGTATCAGTTGGGGGAGAACTGACATCTTTACTACGTTGACTCAAGTCCATGAACTCATGTTCTTTTTATTTCTTTCATCAACATTTGGGGTTTTCGGCATACAAGTCCTATATATGTTTTGTTAAGCATTTCTTCTTTTTAAAATTATATTTTTCGTTTCAGTGGCCATATGTTCATTGTTATGATACAGAAGTACAACTGTTTGTATGTTTATCTTGAATCCTGCTACCTGGCTGAACTCACTTGACAGCTCTGAGTACTTTTTCTCCTAGGTTCCTTGAGATTTTCTACATAGACAATGATGGCATCTGCATATAGGGACAGGTTTATTTCTTCCCTTAGAATCTGTCTGCATTTCATTTCCTCTTCTTGCCTTTATTGTAGCACTTCTGGCACATTAATGAATAAGAGTGGTAAGAGCAGACATCCTTGTGTTCTTGATATAAGGAGGGAAACTTTATATCGCCAGCATTAGGAATACTGAGATACCACATCACACTCACTAGGATACCAAAGAAACAGAAAATAATAATTTTTTGGCAGGGAGTAGAGAAAGTGGAACCTTTGGGCATTGTTAGTGATAAAAGTAAAATTGTGTTTTCTATGGAAAAGAGTTGGGCATTTCCTCAAAAAGTTAAACATACAATTTACCATAGGGGCCAGCAAAGAACTGAAAGCAGGGACTCAAACAGATAGTTATACACCAATGTCCATAACAGCATTATTCACATTTGCTCAAGTATGTACAGATAATTGTATATTATTCAGCCTTAAAAAGGACATTCTGATACATGCTAAGTTATGGATTAACCTTGAAGACATTATGCTATAATAAAGTGAAATAATCCAGTCACAAAGGACAAATATTGTTTGATTCCACTATAACAGGTAGAATCTAGAATAGGCAAATTCATAGAGACACAAAGTAAAATAGAGGTTACCAGTAACTGGGAAAAATGGGAAATGGGGGGTTATTGTTTTAATGAATAGACTTTCACTTTGGGAAGATGAAAAAGTTTTGGAAATGGAGAATGACAGCTATACAACACTGTGAATGTGCTTTATGCAACTGAACTGGACAGTAATTCCTCACTTAACATTCTTTATAGGTTCTGTGATTTTAAGCAAAATGATGTATCATGAAACCAATTTTACCATAGGCTAATTGATATAAACCAGTTAAGTTCCTACAGTAAATCATCATTATAACAAAATGACATTGAACCAAAACACATTATTCAAGGACCTGATATATATTTAAGAATCATTAAAATAAGAAATTTTGTTATATAAATGTTAGCAATAAAAAATTAGCTCTAGATTTTTTGTAGATGTCCCTACAAAATAGAGCAGTTGCCATCTGTTACTACTGTTCTGTGCTTTTCAGTATTGGTTGCTAAGTTTTGTCAAATATTTTTACTCCATCAACTGATATAATCATGTGGTTTTTTCTTTAATCAATATTGTGGGTTACATTAATTGAGTTTCAAATATGGATGCAGTTTTGTATCCTGGAATAAATGGTCCTTGGTAATGGTATATAGTTACTTTTATATATTGTTGAATTCAATTTGTTAATAACTTAAGGATTTTCATGTCTATATTCATGAGAGATATTGATCTCCAGTTTTAGATTTCTCTGTTGTCCTTGTCTGCTTTTGATATCAGCTTAATACTTGCCTCATAAAGTGAAATGGAAAGTGTTCCCCTCACTTTGTTTTCTGGAAGAAATTATATAGCGTTGGTACTAAGCCTCCTTTAAACAGGTGGCAGAATTCCACAGTGAAATCACCTCGACCTATAGCTTTCTTCTGTGGGAGGTTTTAAATTATAAATTGGACTTCCTTAAAAGTTATATGGCTGTTCAAATAATCTATTCCGTATCGGGCAAGTTAAGGTAGTTTTTGTTTTTCAAGAAATAGGTTCATTTCATCGAAATTTTCTGATGGCTAGAGTTGTAGTAATAACCCTTTTTAAATTCTTGACACTGGTAATTTGTGTCTAATCTCTTTTTCTTAGTCTTGCTCAATGTTTGTCAATTTTGTTTTTAAAGAAGAAACTCTCATTTCACCTTTTCCCTCTATTCTTTTTATTTTTCAATTTTATTGATTTCTGCCTTTATAATTATTATTTCCTTCCATTTGTTCACTCTGAGTTCATTTTGCTCTTATTTTTGTAGGTTCGTAGGAAGCTTTTGGTAGGTTCTTAAGGTGGAAGCTTAGATGACTGACTTAAGACATCTTCTGTTTTCTAACATATATATTTAGTGCTACTGGTTTTACTCTCAGGACTCCTCTAACTGCATCTCACACAGTTTGATACATTGCATTTCCTTTTCATGTGTGTTTTTATTTCGCTTGCGACTTCGTTTTTTTGATTCATGGATCATTCCTTCTAGTGTGTTATTTCTTTTCTAAGTGCTTAGAGATTTTTCTGTTAACTTCCTCTTAATGATTTCAAGTTTGATTCCGCTGTGGTCACAGGACACACTTTTGTATGATTTCAATTTGTAAAAGTTTGTTACAGTAAACAAATTTTTATTTTGTATTATGTGTTGTTTTACAGCCCAGGATATGTCTATCTTGGTATATGTTTTTGAGGGCACTTGAAAAGAATATGTACTTTGTTACTGTTGGGTGGAATGTTCTGTAAATGTTGATTAGATTCTGTTGTTTGATGGTGTTGATAAGTTCTTACGGATTTGGGGTCTAGCTATTCTGTCTTTGAGAGAAAGATACTTATGTCTTGAATTGTTGATTTGTCCATTTCTCCTTTCAATTTTCTGTTCCCATATTTTGAAGCTCTGTTATTTGATGTGCATACACTGAAGATCATAATGTCCTCCAGGTGAACTGACCCTCTATGTCTGGTAACTCTCCTTGCTTTGAAGTCTACCTAAGTCTATTCATATAGTCACTCCTGTATTTGATTAATGTTTACATGATGCACCTGTTTTATCCTTGTGTTTTAACCTGTCTACATTGTATTTGACGTTTCATTTAGATGGCGCATATGGTTGTTGTTTTAATCCACTGTGCCAGTCTCTCGGTGAGCATTCTAATTTTGTTTCTGTTTTCTTTTTTAAAATTCTTTATTGTTTAAAGTATTACCTGAGTCTCCTTTTTCCCCCCATTGACCTCTCCCCCGCCACCGCCTCCCCCAAGCACAAGCCCTCACCCCTCTACTGTCTGTGTCCATTGGTTTTGCTCATATGCATGCATACAAGTCCTTTGGTTGATCTCTTACTTCCTCACCCCCCTGCCTTCCCTCATAGGTTGTACAGTCTGTTCGATGCTTCTATGTCTCTGGTTCTATTTTTGTTCATCAGTTTATGTTGTTCATTATACTCCACAAATGAGTGAGATTATGTGATATTTATCTTTCTCTGACTGGCTTATTTCGCTTAGCATAATGCTCTCTAGTTTGATCCCTGCTGTTACAAATGGTAAGAATTCCTCCTTTTTTACAGCAGCTTAGAATTCCATTGTATAGATGTACCACAGTTTTCTAATCCACGTGTCTGCTGATGGGCACTTAGGCTGTCTCAGTTTTCTTATTACTGACTTCTGGTGGGTTACTTGAGCTTCTTTAAAAATTGAATTTTGATTTATTTATAGTTTTTTAGTATATCTCTTTGTATAACATTTTTAGTGGTTGTTCTAGGGCAGTGGTCGGCAAACTCATTAGTCACAGAGCCAAATATCAACAGTACTTGTTCAAAATAGACTCGCCCAGGCCAAAAACCGACTTCTGCGCATGGGCCATGAAGTTTCAATAGCACTGTACGCGCGCCCACACGTGGTATTCTGTGGAAGAGCCACACTCAAGGGGCCAAAGAGCTGCATGTGGCTCGCGAGCCGCAGTTTGCCAACCACAGTTCTAGGGGATACATTACGTATACAATAATTATCAATTTCCTCCTCATGTCATTTTACCAGTTTGAATGAAATATAGAAACCTTATTTCCCAATACATCCTCTTACCCTTCTTACTTAAAATGTAACTTTCTTAAGTACTTCCTTTGTATACATTTAGGATCACATCAGCCATGTAATTATTTTTGTTTCAACCACCAAAATTACTTTAGAAAACTCATGTATAGGAGGAGTGCCTACTGTATTTACCCTATTTTTCCTTACTGTGTTCTTTTTCATCCTGATTGCATCCAGGGTTCCCAAGACCACCCTTAGGTTTGATGTTCACTACAAGGACGCACAAGACACACCATATAGTTGTACGCGTGGCTGCAGTTACAACAAAAGGATACAAAGCAAAATCCACAAAGGGAAATGGTATGAGAAACAAAGTCCGGAGGAAACCAGCAACTAGCTTCCAAGAATCCTCTCCCAGTGGAGACACACCTGGCGCACTACAGTCCTCCAGCACGGCCTTGTGACAATATGTGTTAAATGTTGTCCAACAATAAAATTCGTAAGAGGCTCAGTACTCAACTTTTTTAGTAGGAGCTGGCCCAGAGGCACGCTCTGCCTAGCACATATTATAAATCGAGGTCCCAGAAGGAAAGCAGGTGTTCAGTATAAACCAACCCACTGCATACTTTAGGCCCAGTAAGCCATTCATATCAGTTCTGGGAATGCTGCCAACCCTCCTGAAATGCAAGGTCCTGAAGCCAGCCAGAGGATGATCTAGCCAACAGGACTCTCTAAGGATAGAGGTATCAAGCCTGCTATGTTAATTCTTTACTGCGCACAGATGTTCCACGGTTCCCTCTTTTATTGTTTCCATTCGTTAATAAAATTGCCTTTATTCATTCTCCTGGAAACAAATTCTCAGTTTCTTTCATCTGTGAATTTCCTGATCTCCCCCTTCATTCATGAAAGATATTTTCATTTGCTACAGGACTTGGCATTAACAATTCTTTTCTTTCAGCTCCTGAAAAACATTGCACCCTTTCCATCTAACCTCTGTGGTTTCTGATGAGAAATCCACTACCATTCTAACAGTTTTTCCCCCAATGAGAAAAATGTGTTATTTTTTTTCTGGCTCTTTAAAGGTGCTTTCCTGATTTTTAGTGTTCAGAAGATTCATTATAATGTGTCTTGGCGTGGATTTCAGTGGGTTTATCAGGTTTGACATACACTTGGCTTTGTGGATCTGTAGGTTTACATCTCTTGCCATATTTGGGGGATTTGCAGCCATTGATTCTCTAATACTTTTTCAACCCCGTCCTCCTTCACTTCTTCTCCAGAACTACAATGGTACACATTAGATATTTTGTTATATTCCCACAGTTCATGAGACTGTTCATTTTTTCTTCAGTATGTTTTCTCCAAGTTGTACAGATTGAGTAATTTATATTGTTCTATCTTCTAGTTCATTGATTTCTGTTCCCTTGAATCTGCTACTGCTTTTCTTCAGGTATGTATTTTTCAGTTCTGAACATTCCATATGCCTATTCATAATAACTTCTGTTTCTTTGCAGAAATTTTCTAATGTTTCATTTATCTTAAGTGTGTTCTTTTAGCTGTGGATATCCAGTTGTCCAACTGAATGGACTTGGTACTTTTCCAACTGAATGGACTTGGCACCCTTGCCAAAAATCAGCTGACGATATATGTGAGGATTATTTTTTTCTGAGCTCTCAATTCTTCTCTGTCATCTATATTTTTATCCTTTTGGCAATACAACAGTTTTCTGTTTGTAGCTTGGCACTAAGTATTGAAATCAGAGAGTGTGAATCCTCCAATTGTTCTTTTTCTTTTTAAACTGGTTTTGGCTATTCAGGGTCCTGTGAGATTCCAAATGAATTTTAGGACAGGTTTTTCTATTTCTACAACACACACGGGATTTTGATAGGGACTGGACTGCATCTATAGATCACTTTCACTGCTGCTGTCATCTTAGCAATATTGTCTTCCAATCCATAAGCATGGGGAGACTTTCCACTGATTTAGGTCATCTGTAATTGCAGCAATGTTTTGTAGTTTTTAATGAGCAAGACTTTTGCTTACTTCGTTAATTTCACTGCTGAGCATTTTGTTCTTTTTGATGCTATTATAAATAAAATTTTAAAAAGTTCTTGTTTAGATAGTTCACTGGAAATGTATGGAAACACAACTGACGTTTGTATGTTGATTTTACATGCAGAGTTTCACATTCAGTGTATTCACAGGTTTCTCTCTACTCCTATGAATTTTCGCTTGTGGATTCCCTGACACTTGTAAATTTTGACTAAAGGTTTCTCCACAGTCACAAGATTTATGGGGTCAGCTACAGGCTGACTGTGTCCTCCCAAAATTCATACCTTAAGCCTTAACCCCCAATGTGTGTATATCTGGAGACACTGATACCATTGTAATTAACCTAGTTATTAACAACAGGAAAGGAGCAAAAGGGACGAACAAGAACAACTGCATAGTCCTCTGCAGCTCTACAGCCAGCTTTTTTGGGGTCTCCCCTCCCTGCAAAGCCAAATATTATAGGTATGTCATTTGGGCAGCTTCACCAGGAAGCTAAAGCTTTACACTCCCCAGGGAGCCACCAGCCTATTCCCCACAGATCACTGGGGGATGGGACTGGACAGGCAGAATAGACACATGCCCAGTAAAGTTGGGGTGACATCGGGAAGGAACTTGCCTGTCAGTCTCACCTGGGAACAGGCCACTGGTCAGAATGGGCGTGGCTGCCTGTAAGGGTGCTAAACAAGAGTTCCTTCTCTTATACTCTTGGGACTCTTACTGCTCCAGGCGCGCTCTCCTGCATTTGCCCCCATGGCCCATGGCCCACGGCCATGTGGACACCTACACACAATGGACTAATGGACAGCTGCTAGCCTGATGCTGGGCTGGACCCGGTTCCAACATGGAAAGAAAACTCTGGACTCTGACTCTGCTTCTAGCCCTACTCAAATCCCAGCTGCACTTCTTCTGTGACTAGACTAAGGGAAATGGGACTTGGGAACCCAGGATTGTAATTCAATGCAAATAAAAATCACTCATTCTCTCATGTGAGTCTCATAAAGTTCTTTTTCTTGCGATACGGTAAGAACTCCACCCCACCACCCAGTGGGGAAGAGGACACCCAATTTCTCCAATAACAATATGGCCCCCAAGGAAGTCAGGTTAAATGAGGACATAGGGGGGCCCTGATACGACAGGCAGGTGCCGCACATGAAAAGGAGACACCAGCGCTCATCCCCTCTCTGTCTCTGCCATGTGAGCACAGAACGAGCAGACAGCCATCTGCCAGGAACCCAGTCAGCTGGCACCTTGATCTTAGACGTCCCAGCCTTGAGAACGAGGAGGAAATAATTTCTGTTGGTTAAGCCAGCAGTTTGGTATTTTGAAATGGCAGCCCTAGCAGACTAATCCCGATTCTGGTTATGAGAGTGGGGCACTACTGTAACCTAAAAGTACGGAGCAGCTTTGGAACCGTGTGATGGGTAGAGGCTGGAAGAGTTTTAAAGTGCATATTAGCAAAACCTGAAGGGAATGTTGGTAAAATACAATATTCCAATTTCTCCTTTCAGGAAAAAGCCCTGAGCAGAAATGGCTAAGTGTCATGTTGTATGTATATATAGGTATAATATTCTATATAATTCAGGTCTGACACATACAAAGTATCTGAAAATGCAATTTAAAGAATCCTAAAATATGTAATTTCTATGCCTCAAATAACAAACAGCAAAACAAACCCCTTTGGTTCTTTCATTCTTTCAAAATTAGTTAATATTTGGTCTCTTTATGAAACAAGTATGTTGAGTGCCTGATACTCTTCCAGGTATGGAAACTTCACCTTAAAAACTAACCCACTCAGATGCTCCTGCCTGGTATCAACTTTCCACAAGGAAGCGAAGCAAAGGAAACATTGTCGGTCATAGACAGGATTAGGTTCAGGGTATGCTGAGGGTCCCACAGGAAGGGGCAGAGAGGTATGGGGAAAGTAAGCTGGCACAGCATTTCATTCTGGCCAAGAATGCTTCTCTATTAACACTATAAATGGTAAAGTGAAACATTCAAAAGAAAAGTTTCCCTCTTACATTAGGGAACATTCTGAATTGTATGCACTATATACACGTTTTTCTCAAAGGTATAAAAGATTTGACAATTGAGGGACACACAGCTCTCAATGATGTCTGATAACATCAAAACCAAAGATTTTTAACTTATACATTAATAGGCAAATATCTACCACATGAGCCCAGTATTTACATGAAGTTTAAATCTTGCAAAAAAAAAAAAAAATCTGCCTTATTTCTAGAACAGGCAATACAAATCCGAATGAGCACAGCTGACGCTATGCTGAGTGACTAGTATAACCAGCACAGAGTGCCACAGCATCTATGCAGGTGGCCAGGAAATGTTAACTGCATCTGATTATGAAAGTTCCCATGCTGCCTGAGAGATGAGAACATCTTTCTATTAGGATATATATCCATTCCATTATATATTTCCAAATCCTTGGTTTCAACATGGCAAACTCTTTCTCAAAATCCTTCAAAGCCTATCTTGCTCCAAGTTCAAGTCCATACTCCTCAGCCTGGCTTTCAGGCGTCTGAACTGTCTCCATCCAGGCTCAGAGGAGATGAAGGCAAAGCCTTCAGGGGCCGGGCAAGTAATGAGTGAGAGAAGCAGCACTTGGCCTTGGGGTAAAGGGGCACAAGGGGCGTGACCACACAGTGGAGACGCTGTTTGTCTCCAGCCACGAGCCATCTGTCCAAGAGTGTAGCTGTAGGACAGTGGGAAATAATCTCTTCTCAGAGAAGTTGGCAATCCAGACTTTTAGGTGAAATCTTCCAATTTGTGGAAACTCATTTAAATATAAAGGATGGGTCCAGCCAAACTACATCTATCTGAGTCAAAAATGAAAACAGTTCCGCACCCTTCCCTCTACACAGAGAAAAGCAGCTCCAAGCTTCCCATATGGTGAGTCGCCCAGTCTGAGACACACTACGCTTCCAGCCTTATTTCAACAGAAATGCCTTCCCTCAGCTCTTCAACTTGCCAATTCCATGGCGGGGAGGCGGAGGAGGCAGTCACTTCCTCCCTCGACAGCATTCCTCCACTTTAGTAGGCCCTGGGAATCACTGGGCACTGAAGCACGAATGTCCAGTATTTTTAATTTAACTTCAATTAGTTTTCTACTTGGTGAATTCCTGAGTCGTGAATGAAAAGGCTCCAGGTAAGATGGGCCACGCCCCCAAGGTCAGGGTAGGGTATTGCCTAATGCCAGCAAGGTATTAATTAGGACAAGAAAAGGCGACGGGGCCATCCTGCAAGAGCTGGAAAGAAATTTCAGGACTCACCTTATCCCTGGTTGCCAGGCGCTCTGGAGCCATACTCCTGGTCGCTGAGTGCTCTTCCGAGAGAAGAGTCAAGTTGCACAGGCAGAGCTGGGGAAAGAAGAGCAGCGGAGGGTGCTTAGGAGGAAGGTCCCATCTAGCATCCCAGGTCGGCCCGAGTGAGGGGAGATATGGAAGGCAGTAGCTCATCCTTCACCAGTGTCCTGTCAATAGGGCCCCAGACCTAGGCCACCAGTGGGCTCAGCCCCAATGCCTGTTGGGAAATGAAGCCCACAGCAGCTGGTGAGACTTTGTCACTGTGTGGACTCAATTAAGAGGAAAGGGCCTCAGAGTGGCCACAGGTGTGCATTCACATTGAGAAATAAAGTGACTATCATAGTGAAAACAGAGTTCCGAATTCATGTCTGCCCTGAGGCTAAAGGACAAGGCTCAGGAAATTAAAAATAGAGAGCACTACAGGCTCCACAGAATGCAGATTTTGGGGGGGACTTGAAGCAGGGTGGAAGACATAACCTATTTCAACCTCCCCTCCACTTATATATCCAAGATTAGCTTCCCAAGAATTGAAATATGTCTTGATTAAGAATGGGCAGTTGGCAGTTGGCCCAGATCTTCAACAAATCCATTTCATAAAGAAGTTTTGTAACAGGAGAGATTTTTCTTAATACCAAGCTGCATAGAAGATAAACCACTCATCAGATGTCATGTATAGGCCTTGTTTGCACAAATGAACATTTTGGGGACTATGAATGACAACTGGGTGTTAAATGATGTTAGAGAATTATTGTGAATATTGTTTGGTGTGATCATGATATTCTAGATATAGAGAAAATGAGTCAAGAAATGCGGTCGAAGTACTAAGGTGAATTGACATGTTTGTAATTTTCTTAAAATGTAAAGCCTTCAACAAGTTAATAGCAGAGGCAGGAAGGGAGAGAAAGGGAGTGTGAGCTGGAGTGTACAAGCACTCTTATGGAATTAAAGGAAGATGAGGAGACATCGATAATGTAAGGTGAGGACCTTTGTTTAGACTTCTTTTAAAAATATTTTTCCATTGATCCTTAGAGAGAATGGATGGGAGGGACCAGAGACGGAGAAACATCTACTTTTGTGAGGGAGACACATTGACTGGTTGCCTCACTCACGCGCCCCAACCGGAGCCAGGGATTGAACCGACAACTGAGGTACATGCTCTTGACCAGGAATTGAACTTGTGACACTTCTGTCTGCAGACCAATGCTCTAACCAATGTGCCAAATTGGCTAGGGAAATGTTTAGACATTTTTGAGGCAATCATGGAATCTGAACACTGACTAGATATTAGATGGCATTAAGTAATCAGTATTAATTTTATTAGACTTAGGATAAGAATGGGCTATGCCCACTGTCTCTCCACCTCTCACGAGGAGGGAGGCCTGTCCCATGTGGGATACTATTGCCCATCCCCTTCTGAAGAGCCTAAGCGACCAAGCGACCAAACGACTGAACGACCGGTCGACCAGTTGCTATGACACACGCTCAATGCAGGAGCTGCCCCCTGGTGGTCAGTGCATTCCCACAGCCAACCTCCTGTGATCCCTCCCTCCAGCCGGCCAACCTCCCACTGCCCAACCAGGGGGAGGGACCATGGGAGATTAGCCAGGCAGCTCCCTGATCAGCCCTGATTTCTGGTCAGGCCGAAGTACCCCACCTGTGCACGAATTTGTGCACCGGGCCTCTAGTGCTTAAATAAAGAGTGCAAAGTCTACAGTTAACATCATATTTAATTATGAGAAACTTGATGCTGTCCTGCTAAGATCAGAAACAAGACTAGGATGTCTGCTCTCAGCACTCCTATTCAATATCACACTAGAATTCCTAGCTAATGTAAGAAGACAAAAAAAGGAAATAAAAGATACACAGATTGGGAAAGAAGAGATAAAATTGCCTTTGTCTGCAGATGACCAGATTGTCTATGTAGAAAATCCCAAAGAAATTTCTGGAACAAATGATTACATCAATACTGAGAATACAAGGTTAATATACAAAAGTCAACTGCTTTCCTATGTACCAGCCATCAACAAATGGAATGTGAAATTAAAACCACTAGACATTTCTATTAGCTCCCAGTAAAGTGAAATACTTAGGTATAAATCTTTTCAAAAAATTGTATGAGATCTAGATGAGGAAAACTACAGAACTCTGCTGAAAGAAACCAAAGAAGATCTAAATAAATGGAAAAGGACAGTCCACATCATGGAAAAAGAGACTCGGTATTAAGATGTCAGCTCTTCCCACTGGGTCTATACACATTCAACAAAACCATCATCAAAATCCCAGCAACTTACTTTGAGTAGATTAATAAAATGGTTCTACTAGTAAAGATTATATAGAAAGGCCAACACAATACTGAAGAAAAACAAAAGCAGAAGACTGGCATAACTGGATGTCACAACTGACTATAACGCCACGGCAAAAATATATATATATTGGTAGTTAAAAAATAGTCATGGGGGTGTAAGTTTAGCATTTTGCAATACTATGTATGGTGCCAAGTGGGTACTGGAATATCAAGGGGACCACTTTGTAAAGTATATGATTGTCTAACCACTATACTGTACACTTATAACTAATACAAAATAATACTGTATGTAATTGAAAAAATTTAAAACAGATAAAATAATAAATGGAATAAAATGATGACACAGAAATAGACCCACACAGATAGAGTCAACTGATCTTTGACAAAGGAGCAAAGGAAATTCAATGGAGAAAGAATTGTCTTCTGCATAAATGGTAGTACTGGAATAACTGAACATTCGCATGCCAAATAATAAATGAATAAATAAGAAATAAGAATCTAGACACAGATCTTATACCTTTCACAAAAATTAACTCAGAATGGATCACAAACCTAAAGATAAAATGTGAAACAATAGCTCCTAGAAGATAACATGGGAGAAAATCTATGTGACCTTGGGATTAGGACACCAAATCTATAGGACACCAAAAGCACAATCCATGAAAGAAAAAAATTGGTAAGTTGGATTCTGTTAAGATTAAAACCTTTTGCTCTGTAAGATACTGGTAAGAAAATAAAAAGGCAAACCATAGAGTAGGAGAAAATGCCTGAAGAAAAAAATGACTGAGTGAAAAAGAGAAAATAATCATAATCAGAGTTAAGAAACTCACTACTATACTTCTCAGTAAATGAAAAAACAAACTGACAGTAAATAGTAAGGAAACAGGTTTGAAAACACTATCAAGCAGTATTGATCGTATTTAAATTTATAGAACACTAAACCCAAGTGCAGAAGTACACGCAGACTCTTCACAAGGTAAGTGACATTCTGAGGCCTATAAAACAAGTCACCAATTTCAAAGGACTACACTTAAAGAGTATGTTCTTTGCCCAAGACAGAATAAAAGTGGAAATCAGTAACAGTGAGATATCTAGAAAGACCTCCATAATTAGAAATTAAGCAATACTGGTCTAAAGGAGATATGGATGAAAACAAATATTCCAAGGGACATGAAGAAATGTTATGAACTGAATGATTCTAATAAATACATGTAAAAACATATCACAACTAACCAAATTTGTGGCATGGAGTTATGGGCTGTAGTGTGTCCCCTATCAAATTCATATGTAAAAGCCCTCATCCCCCAGTACTATAGAATATGACTGTATTTAGCCATAGGTTGATTAAAGAGGTAATTAAGTTAAAATGACATTATTAAGGTGGGCCTTAATCCAATATACTGGTATCCTTATAAGAATCTGAACAGAGATTTCCAAAGAGAAGATGATGTAAACACAGGGAGAAAGCCATCTATAAGCCAAAGAAAGGCTTCAAAAGAAACCAACATTGATAAAACCTTGATTTTTAACTTCTAGCCTCCAGAATTCTGAGAAAATAAATTTCTGCTATTTAAACCACCCCGTCTGTGGTGCTTTGTTATGGCAGTTCTAGCAAACTAATACAACAGCTGAAGCTGTTCTTAAAGGGAAAGTGATATCCTTAAATGAATGCACCAGAAAAGGAGAAATTTTTTAATTAAAAAAAAAAATTAGCTCACACCTTTTTAAAAAAAAATAAATACCCAAGGATATTTTTTCCATTGATTTCTAGAGAGAGTAGAAGGGAGGGAGGGGGGGGAGAGAGAGAGAGAAACATTGACATGAGAGAGATACATTGATTTGTTGCCTCCTGCACGTGGCCCTACTGGGGCTGGGGAACCTGCAACCGAGGTATGTGCCCTTGAGTGCCTTTGACCAACACTAACCACTGAGCAAACAGGCCAGAACCAGCTCATACCTTTTAAGAAACTAGGAACGAAGACAAAACTTTAGTAAGAAGATAATAAGTAATAAACAGGAAAAATTAATGGAATGGTCAATAACACCAAAAGCACAAATAGGCAAACGAGGCTAAGCTTAAAAACTTCTGTACAGCAAAAGAAACATAGTGTAAAGGTATAGTACAGGACGGGTCAAAATAGATGCAAGCCATATACCATATATGGGGTCAATATCCAGAATATTAAAAGCGCTTCTACAACTCATTAACCAAAAAAAAAAAAAATAACCTGACTAAAAATGGGCAAACTACTTGAATAAACATTTCTCCAAAGAAGAGATACAAATGGTCAATAGTGCATGAAAAGATGCTAAACATCATAAATTATCAGAAAAATGCAAATCAAAATCACAATAAGACAATCTCTAGCCCAACAGGAGTGACTCAGTGGTTGAGCTTCAACCTATGAACCAGGAGGTCATGGTTAGATTCCCAGTCAGCATCCCCAATGGGGGATGTGCAGAAGGCAGCCCATCATTGATTCTCTCCTATCATTGATATTTCTATCTATCCCTCCCTCTCACTTCCTCTCTGAAATCAATAAAAATATATATTTTTTTAAAAAGATACCATCTCTACCTGTTAGAATGGCCATTACACACACACACACACACACACACACACACACACACACACAGAAAATAAGTTTTACAAAGAATGGGAAAATACCCTAGACTATTGTTGGTACAATTATAAAATGGTGCAGTCACTATGGAAAACAGTAGAGAGGGGGGTTGCTCAATAAATTAACGATAGAAGTATCATATGATACATTAACCCCACTTCTGGATATATACCCAAAGAAATTAAAAAACAGGATCTTGAAGAGATATTTACATACACATGTTAGCCAAGGTGTGGAGGCAACCTGAATGTCTATCAATGGGTGAATGGATAAAGAAAAAGTAGTAGCCGAAACCGGTTTGGCTCAGTGGATAGAGCGTCGGCCTGCGGACTAAAAGGTCCCAGGTTCGATTCCGGTCAAGGGCATGTACCTGGGTTGCAGGCACATCCCCAGTAGGAGATGTGCAGGAGGCAGCTGATCGATGTTTCTCTCTCATCAATGTTTCTAACTCTCTATCTCTCTCCCTTCCTCTCTGTAAAAAATCAATAATATATATATATATATATACATATATATATATATAAAGAAAAAGTAGTAAAAACATAAAATGAATATTAGTCATTCAGCCCTAGAAAATAAGGAAATCCTGCCTTATCCTGGATGAACCTTCAGGGCATTATGCAAAGTAAAATATTTCAGTCACAAAGAGACAAATGTTGCATCATTCCACTTCTATGAGGTATCTGAATTACAATAAATTAAATTAAATGGAATTCCAAAAAATAATCAAGCCAGAAATAATAATACAGAAAGAAAAAAAATAGAGGAGGCAAATAGAAAACAAACAGTAATAGTAGAGACCTAAATCTAACCATACTGATAATTATATGAAATAACCCACCAATTAACTGAAAAGCACAGACTGTCAGACTGGATAAAAAAAGCAAGGCCCTACCGTATGTTTTCTACACGAAGCACACTGTAAATATAGGCATGGCTCAGGTAAATATAGAAACGATGTAAACAGACATAGCATGCACACAGTGAGCATAAGAAGTTAGGAGTAGCAATATATCAGACAAAGCATATTTCAAAAAAAGTGTTACCAGAGACACAAAGACATGTTTCATGATAATAAAGGAGTCCATTCATCAGAAAATATACTAATGGTAAATGTATAAGCATTTTATAACGGTGCTTCCAAATATATGAAGAAAAAAACAGAATTAATGGAGAAACAGAAAATTCCACAATCCTAGTTGAAGAATTTAACACCTTGTCACAGTAGTTGCTAAAATGATGAAACTACTGCTAAAAAAAATTGATAAAAATAACTAAACAGTTAGAAAATAAAAGATCTGAATATAACAATCAAGCAACTTGACCTAACATAGTATTAGAACAACACCCAACAACTGCAGAATATATTCTTTTCAAGGACACATTCAGCAAAACAAGATATATACACTGGGTCATGAAATAACTCCTCACTTACAAGGGCTGACACTGTACATACTTTGTCTTTGACCTGAATGGAATTAAATAAGTAATAATAAGTTATCTAGAAAAATCCCAACATATCTGGAAATTAGACGACAGTGGATGGAGAAAAGCTGCATTTATCAAGTACAGACAACTTCCTTGATGACTTTTTTTTTTTTAATTCTTACCCGAGAATATTTTTCCATTGATTTTTAGAGAGTGGAAGAGAGACGGAAAGACAGAGAGAAATATCGATGTGAGAGAAACACATTGATTGGTTGCCTCCTGCATGAGCCCCGATCAGGGTTTGGGCCTGGGCCAGGGAGGAGCCTGAAACCAAGGTACGTGCCCTTGACCAGAATTGAACCCAGGACCCTCCGGTCCACAGGCCAACGCTCTTTCCACTGAGCCAAACCAGCTAGGGCTCTCTTGATGACTTTCATTAAAAATGGAAGCAGAGAGATGAGGCAATAAATGAAGGAAGAAATCATGACCCTCCTCTGGTCAAAACCCTGCAGAGGGTCCCCCTACCCACAGCTCCACACATTACCTTACCACCCACACCCCTGCCAAATAACAGCCCAACCCCCTTTCCCACTTGAGTTCCCATCACTCCCCGCACAGATGTCACTTTCCAGGCAGAAAGGATAGCCCCTCATTATCCTCACACCTGGGTGCTCACCCAGGAGGAGCCAGGACCAGACACGGTGCCTGTCCCTCAGAGAACCACCTCAACCAGCGGGACAGTCAGGCCATCGGGATGCACCAAGCAAGCCTTCAAGTCCTCACGTGCAAGTGCCTGGGAATAATCCTGCCAGAGAACATTCAGAAATATTTGCATTCGAGACCATCTCAGCTGGTTAACAAGGGTGATCGTGTGAAGCATAAAGGCATGAGGGAATAAAGCCACATGGATTGGCCCTAACCGGTTTGGCTCAGTGGATGGAGTGTCGGCCTGCGGACTGAAGGGTCCCAGGTTCGATTCCGGTCAAGGGCATGTACCTTGGTTGTGGGCACGTCACCAGTGGGGGGGGTGCAGGAGGCAGCTGGTCGGTGTTTCTCTCTCATCGATGTCTCTGACTCTCTATCCCTCTCCCTCCCTCTCTGTGGAAAATCAATAAAATAAAGAGAAAAAACCAAACCACATGGACTGGAGTAGACCCCCTGCGGCTGCCAACTGCAGGCCAGCTGGAGTGAAGGGTGACCATGATTCTGGAAAGGCTGTCTGTGGGCCAGTTCCAAACGGATAATCACCATCACCCAACACACTCCCCCTGGGCACTCACTGTGTGCCCTCGCCCCGTCCAAAGGTCACCTTTCCACCTCCAACCCGGACACTGCTATTAGCCCTGTTTTACTGATGAGAAAAAGGGAGGGACATCGAATGAGGGCACATGGCCAGGGTCACACAGTCAGTACTAGTGGAGCCTCAGAGTCCGACTTCAGAACCCACCATAAAGAGAGGAGGGCCTTTATGTAACAGGAAGTAGATGAACTAAAACGTGGGGAAAGACAATATGCTGAGCTAACATAAAGGTGAGGAAAAAGGAGAAGAGGAGAAAGAATGGACAAGACTTAACAGCTCATCAGATTACTGGGAAATCTGGAAAACTCAAGGAGGCAAGAAGCCTGAGGCCATGCAGTCCTTGCCAAGAGGTAGCATCCTGCCATTGAGATGGCAGGGGCAGAATGGGTGAGAGAGTGCAGGGGATGCAGAAGGCAGGTCCCCAAGAGCGTCCTGCACGTGCTCCTCACCTGGCTGCTGAGAGCAGGCTTTGAACTGTAGCAAGGCATTTTGGGACAACTGGGGAAAGGGAACGCAGCCTGAATATTATATGGCATTGATAAACTGGGGTTAATTTTGTTGGGTATATATATATGGGGTATAAAGCGCATTTTCTTTAAGTCCTTATACAAAAGAGAAGCATACTGAAGTATGTACCGTAGAGCGTTATCTGAGATTTGCTGCAAAGAAAATCTACGCCGGAGAGCAGCTTGTTGACAACTGTTGCAGCTGAGCACACAGGTGCTCCCACAGTGTCCTCCTTGCTTTGGCTGTACTGTCAGATTTCCATCATTTTAAATTTAATAACCCCTCTCCCTCACATCCCCAAAAGTAGAAAAAAAAACCTTAAAGGAGAGGAATATTACAAATACATATAATTTATCTTCTGGGAAGGAACATGCAGAATTTAGTGTAACTTACTTAATAGTCAGTTTCTTACTTCCATCTTCTTCCTAAAGAAAAATAAAGACTTCTTTTATTATTGGGTAAGAGTCAAAAAGTCTTCATGCCCTTGGAAGAGATTATGACTGGCAGTCTCTAGGTACAAACAGAGAAAGACAAACCTAAGTGACCCAATCCTAAACCCCAGCCAGCCCCATGGCTAACCTATGCCTCTAACTACTATTCCTTGGCTATACAAAATGAAAGTTCAGAGGCATTTTAAAAAACAAGGACTATTAAATCTTTAGACTGTTGTGTTTTCTGTGTTTTTAGTTGTAACTAGTTGCTATCACTCTAACACTTAAATAATCTGGGTTTGTAGCATCTCTTTTTTTAAAAAAAGAGAGGGGATAAACTACAAATACTGGCTGGTCTGATTCCTGCCCTGTTAGTGTCATTACTGTCATTAACAAAAGTTAATGTTATTAGGGGCTGGGACCAAGGATCAGGAGAAAGTGAACAAATGTTCTATCTTTATCACATTAGAAGCATGAGACAAATTTGAAGGATAGAGCACCTGCTTTTACATTTTCATTAAAACTTTGAAAGTTGCCCTAGCTGGTTTGGCTCAACGGATGGAACGCTGGCCTGCGGACTGAAGAGTTCTGGGTTCAATTCCGGCCAAGGGCACATGCCTGGGCTGTGGGCGCGATCCCGACCCAGTAGGGGGCGTGAAGGAGGCGGCCGAACAATGATTCTCTCTCATCATTAATGTTTCTATCTCTCCCTCTCCCTTCCTCTCTAAGATCAATAAAATATATTTTTAAAAAATTAACAAAACTTTGAAAGTTAAAGAACGGCTGGCTCCAAGGTAAAAGTTACTATAGCACTTCCCTCTCTATAAAATGAGAATTCTACTGCCTTATGTACAAGGCTGGCTGAGGAAATAAACTATGCAGTGCACAGAAGGCAGGCTGCCAACACAGGCATACTGCTCTCAAACACTACTTCTCCCACCTGTGTTTAGCCGGGCCTCAGAGGCCCCGAGGACAGTGGGTCCGGATGAGTGTTCTGGAGACGTTGCGGGGCCCGGGAAACCACCTGCAGCTCTGAGCCACAGAGGACTACACACAGGTTCCAGGGACAAGCAGAGCAAGGAGCCCTCTGTCATGAGCAAAGGCACTACAGGGACACGAGGGCGTGCTGCCCACCTGAGAAGGGCTGCCAGGCCCCCAGCCCCTCTTCTCCCCACCCTAACAGGCAATACCACTGGATGTGGGGGAGCATGGGGTGCAGCAGGGCAGACTGGAGCAAGAGAGAAGCAGCTCCAGCCAAAGGATTCTCTCCCAGCCCAGAGGGCAGGCTGGCAACCCCCAAGCCTGCAACTGGGGTCCTCTTCACGAAAGCATCAGAACCAGGGAGGTTCTATGTCCCTACAGAGGCAGGGTGTGGGTTTTAGCAAAAGCCTGCTCTGAGCTCATGTCAACACTTAGCATGACATCATCTTCTATGTGCCTGTGGAGTTCAGTAAACGCGCGAAGTAACGTTCCTGAGCACTTGGCATGTGCGAGACGCAAGTTTTACCTTTTTCCACAATGAGGACAGGTTCAGTGAGAAAGGGGCGCACCTGGATCTGAACTCTCCCTACAGAGGCAGGACGGCAGGCCTCGCAGAGGCTCCTGGGTAGAGGCAATGCCCAAAGAGGTGCACGCTTGCAGATCTGGGGGGGAGGGCAGGTTCTGGTTGTTAAGTAGTGAACCTGAGTGATGACTCCATGGAACCTCACGGCCACATCTGGGCATGCTTGCAATGTTTTCATAATGAAAAGCTGAAAATAAGAACTTGAGTATGGATTCTGACTGCCCTCCCCCTCCCTCAGCCCCTGTAATTCAGGGGTCAGCCACCCGCCCGGGGGTTTGCAGGAGGTTCCCTGCCCATGGGCTCCATCCCACTTACTGCACCCCGGGCTGTTGGGAGGGCCCCGCACCGGCGGGAGCCGTGCAGACACAGGGAAGCCCCAGGCAACAGGAATACTGACCCCGCCAGGACGCCAGCCTCCCGCAAGGTTCTGGGGCCGCTAACAGTCGCTTGGCCTCAGACGCCCCACCCCAAATTAGTCTGCGGGCCAGCGCTTCCCCCGAACAAGGGTCCGTGGGGCCAAGCAGCGCCTCCCCCGCACGGCGGGCATCACACGGCCGCGCGCCCACGAATACCCAGAGGAAGCCCGAGCTCAAACCCACAGCCCTAGGCACGTCTGCTCCCGGCCAGGGCGCGCGTGTTCCCCAAATCACCCGTATTATTCCAGGCCCCAGCAGGACAGGACGCCGGGACCCCCGCCCCCTACCCCGCCCTGAGAAAGCACACCTCTGGGCCAGAGCGACACTTCCCACGCTTTCCCTTCCCAGGTTTCCCGACTGTCCTTCCTCCGAGCTGGCGGCCAAACCTACCTCGCCCATCACAGCCCGGGGGACAGTCACCAGCGCCAAGCTACGCCCAAGGGGCGTGCGGGTCGCTCCCCACACTGCCCCTGGGCGGGACTACAATACCCAGAATGCCCCGGGCGGGAACTACACTACCCATAGTGCCCCAAGGCGGGAATATAATACCCAGAATGCCGCGGGGCGGGAACTAAGCTACCTACACTATTGACAAGGTCCCTCGTGAGGACTACACCTCGATACCAACACACCCACCCGCCTGCCCTCACAGCCCCACTGGACTCGGACCTTCAGCCATGGTCTCAGATACACGCCCACTCATCTGTCAGAATTACAGCCACTTGGGCTCTGGGACAAATTGTGAAAAATCAGACCAGTAAAATCAAACTGACTTCCGGTGCATGAGAAGGGTGGTTGAGGTGAGCACTAAAATCTTTCTTTTTTAAGTTACAGGGTCTTTGTAATTTTTGTTTAAATTATTTTTAAAAAATGAAAAGGTGTTAGTTGCCTGGATATGTACTTGTCCTCCATCCTGCAGATTGACCCGGGTTTTTACATTTAAATAAAAGCACATAATGAATGAAGTACTAACAAATGCTAACAATACTGGCATTTTTCTTTTTTAAAGAGAATATTATGAAGTTTGTTTAAAAGAAAAATAGAGATGTCACAGAATTAGTCCAGACATATTTACTAAACAAAAACAGTCAAACAGCAACCCTCAGGAGTAAAAATCACAATCCCCAAAGTCTATGTTGTCTGAAATACCAACTTTTACACAAAATTACAATACATAAAGCAACAATGTGACGCATACTCATGAAATAAAGCAGTCAATAAAAACTATCATTGAGCCCGGCCTGCATGGCTCAGTGGTTGAGGTTCAACCTGTGAACAGGAAGGAGGTCACAGTTCCATTCCCTGTCAGGGTTGCACCTTAATACACAGTAGTGGATGTACAGGAGGCAGCCTATCTATGGTTCTCATCACTGATGTTTCTATCTATCCCTCTCCCTTCCTCTCTGAAATCAATAAAAATCTATATGTTTTAAAAAACTATCTTTGAGTAATTTCAGACAATGAATTTAGAAGACAAAAATGTACAAAAAACTATTTAAATATACATTTCAAAGAAATGGTGAAAGGCGTGCCGCCCGCCTCTCCGGGCGGTGCGGGAGGAGGAGTCTGGCCGCTGGGCTCTGGGATCCCTCCGCGGCCGCCGGCCTCCCCGGAGCGGGTCCGAGTGTCCGGGCCGGCTGCGTGGTGGCCGGCGGCGGGCCGAGGGGTGGGGCCGGGCGGCGACCGACCGCGGGGGAGGTCATGGGAGCGGAAGGCCTCACCGCCTGACTCTTCCCTCCCTTCCCCCGTGGTCGGCTCCCCGCTTGCCCGCGCTGGGGCCGGGGGTCCATGCGGCCCTTGGGGCCCGGTCGGGGGGGCCGGGGCCTGCATGGGCCAGCCGCTGGGCCCCATGGGGGGGGCATTGGCTCCCCAGCCCACGGCGGGAGCCCGGCGTGGGCTGCCACCCTCCCGCTGCCCCCCGGACCGGGCCCAGTGCAGCAGCGGCGGCAGCGCAGCGGCGCGCGTGCCCTAGCTCGGGGAGGCCGCCATGCTGCAGTGCACCGGCCCCATGGCCGGGCCTGCTCTGAGCGGATGCCGCTCCTCCAGAGCTGGGCCACTCCAGCGGCCGCACCCCGTTTGCTGGGCCTGTGCTGCCCAGACGCGCTGGAGTCCCAGTCTGCCCGCAGGCCAGCTGCGGGGGCTGTGCGGGAGGGCCATCCTGCCTTGTGGCGGGTTCGAGCGGCAGCAGCAGGAGCCGGGCAAGGACTGCGCCCTCCATCTTGCCTTGGGTCCTCCATTTTGGGACGGTACCATGTGCTTCCTCACGGGAAGAAGCCGCTACTAGCCACACCCAGGATTTCTCTGGACTAACCAATAATAATCAAGGGAAGTGCACGCCATCACTATGACCGACTTGCGCCTGGCCAATCAGCGGGGCCCACAGTCCCCTCTCCTGCCCTCACTCCACCCCCCTTTAAAACCCCCTGTCCCATCAGGCGTCTCTCTCTCGGCCACTGGAGCTTACCGTTGCATCGGTGAGTGTGGCAGGGGAGCCAAACCTAGGTTTGAAATAAATGACTCTTTGCTTTTGCATCGGACTGACTGGCTCCCTGGGGGTCTTGGGAACTTTGAATTCTGGGCACAACAATGGAACCACATTTAAATAAGGAATAAATCATGATAATAACAAGTAGAGGGTATCAATAAAGGAAAAGAAAATACTTTTTTAGAGAATCAAGTGGAAATTCTCAGAAAAGAACAATAACTGAAGTGAAAATTTTACTAATAGGGATCGGGAAAGATTTGAGATGGCAGAAGAAATAAACTTGAAGATAGATAACACCATTGAAATCTTCTAATATGACAACCGAGAGAAAAGTAATTTACAAAAAAAACCCAAAAAAACAGTGCCACCTGTAGAACCACCTCGAGTGTACTAACATATATGTAATAGGCCGTTTCCAAATCTTAGCTATTGTAAATTGTGCTATGAACATAGGGGTGCATATACTCTACTTGATGGGAGTCTCGGGTTTCTTAGGATATATTCCTAGAAGTGGGATCACTGGGTCAAATGGGAGTTCCATTTTTAATTTTTTGAAGAAACTTCATACTGTTCTCCACAGTGGCTGCACCAGTCTGCATTCCCACCAGCAGTGTCCTAGGATTTCCTTTTCTCCACATCCTCACCAGCACTTGTTGTTTGTCTCTTTGTTGATGGCAGCCATTCTGACAGGTGTGAGGTGCTACCTCATTGTCGTTTTCATTTGCATCTCTTGGATTATTAGTGACTTTGAGCATTTTTTCATATGTCTCCTTAGAGGAATTCTTCATGCCCTATACCTAGAACAGTAATGGCGAACCTTTTGAGCTCGGCATGTCAGCGTTTTTGAAAAACCCTAACTAACTCTGGTGCCATGTCACATATAGAGATTTTTTGATATTTGCAACCATAGTAAAACAAAGACTTGATATTTATTTTATATATTTAAATGCCATTTAACAACGAAAAATCAACCAAAAAAATGAGTTTGCGTGTCACCTCTGATACGCGTGTCATAGGTTCGCCATCACTGCCCTAGAAGATGGAATTCTTTCAGCTAAAGTTTTTATATATTCATTTTCTTACTTATAAATATGAGTTTTTCAATAGGTAGTAGAGTCACCTCTACCTTAGATCAATGTGTTAGCATAGTTTGATAAATTTCATTACTTCCTTCCACATTTTCTAAAACTATAAAAGTCTATATAAGGTTTTAATTCCTTTTGAGTGATGGAAGAGACCAAAGTTCATTAAGGAAATGGTTTATTTTTACTTAATGTTATTCTTATAAAGTGTCTTATTAACACTTAATATTTATTTTCTTATCTTTCTCCCTTTCCTGTTTGTGAAAGTAATGAATATCTTAGAAGATGGACTTAACTTTGATTTTCGAATGTGGGATGGTTTGTGGTTTGACCTGAGCACAGTAGTGGAGTTGATATGAGCCACTAGGAAGCTTGGAGTTGTTCATGTGAGAGGCACCTGTGCTTTTCCCAGTTCCCTTTGCAGAGTACATTGGCTGTGGCTTCTCTACTATTCGTGTTGTAATCACAGTTGCAGTTGGTTAGGTGGGGAATTGGGAAGTCGGGACATGGACTGGCTGGCAGGGTGGTCCTCAGTCCTTGTGGTAAAGGGGAGGTTGCATGGAATGGTTTCTGAAGGCACTCTTTCATGTAAAAGCCTTGAGTTCTGTCAGAATTACTTTTCCTCCAGAATTAGTCTTAACTCATAGTTAATGTCAAATGGGAGTTTTTGTTTTAACTCAAAGTGAACTTTGGTGACACCTGAAAGGTCAAGTGGAATTTCTTCCCTGTCTCTCTTGTTCTTTGCTGCCAAGAACCCACTTTCTGTCCCCTCTTGCTAACATGTCACAGTGTTTTTCTTTCTTTTTTTTTTTAATTAAATCTTTATTGTTCAGATTATTACATTTGTTCCTCTTTTTTTTTCCCCCATAACTCCCCTCCTCCCAGTTCCCGCCCCACCCTCCGCCCTCACTCCCCACCCACTGTCCTCATCCATAGGTGCACAATTTTTGTCCAGTCTCTTCCCGAATCTCCCACACCCCTTTCCCCCCCAGGAATAGTCAGTCCATTCCCTTTCTATGTCCCTGATTCTATTATAATCAACAGTTCATTCTGTTCATCAGATTATTTATTCACTTGATTCTTAGATTCACTTGTTGATAGATGCATATTTGTTGTTCATAATTTGTATCTTTACCTTTTTCTTCCTCTTCCTCTTCTTAAAGGATACCTTTCAGCATTTCATATAATCCTGGTTTGGTGGTGATGAACTCCTTTAGCTTTTCCTTATCTGTGAAGCTCTTTATCTGACCTTCAATTCTGAATGATAGCTTTGCTGGATAAAGTAATCTTGGTTGTAGGTTCTTGGTATTCATCACTTTGAATATTTCTTGCCACTCCCTTCTGGCCTGCAAAGTTTCTGTTGAGAAATCAGCTGACAGTCGTATGGGTATTCCCTTGTAGGTAACTGAGTTTCTTTCTCTTGCTGTTTTTAAGATTCTCTCTTTATCTTTTGCTCTTGGCATTTTAATTATGATGTGTCTTGGTGTGGTCCTCTTTGGATTCCTTTTGTTTGGGGTTCTCCGTGCTTCTTGGACCTGTAAGTCCATTTCTTTCACCAGGTGGGGGAAGTTTTCTGTCATTATTTCTTCAAATAGGTTTTCAATATCTTGCTCTCTCTCATCTTCTGGCACCCCTATAATTCTGATGTTGGTACGCTTGAAGCTGTCCCAGAGGCTCCTTACACTATCCTCGCATTTTTGGATTCTTTTTTCATTTTGCTTTTCCGGTTGGGTGTTTTTTGCTTCCTCGCATTTCAAATCATTGACTTGATTCTTGCGCTCCTCTGGTCTGCTGTCGGGAGTCTGTATAATATTCGTTATTTCAGTCCGTGTATGCTTAATTTCTAGTTGGTTCCCCAATATAGCATCGAGGGTCTCATTAGTTTTCTTGTAGATCTCATTAAGTTTATCGGCGGCTTCTAAACAGTTCTTGAGA